CCAACTATAGCCAATCCCATCACACCTTGTCCCAACCCAGCACAACGCTAATTATCCAGACCAACTACCATCCGTCCACACTCCAACCACAATCCCCACAGACCAACCCAATCCCATCCAACCTAAGCAATGAATAATAATAATGAAAAGGTATTACCTAGTGCACAATCAAGACAATGCAATGAGTTGATGTTTCAATTGTGCCAGGGTGGGAAAATATTTCAAGTGGTATAAAACAATGCTCCATAGTTCAGATATAGTGATTTGGTAAAAGCTGGCCGAGAAGTGAGAACATCTTGTTGCTGGTGTGGAGATATCCCATTCCACCCATCAGTACTGACCCAAACCCTGATCCATCCCATCCGCACCTGCTGATACCTGCCACCTCATCTCGACTGATCCTATCTCATCCCGACCCTAACCTTACCCCGACAGCTCACCTGCTTCAATGGAGGCAGCCCAAAGTAGTCCCTCAGAGTGAGTTTCGTCTTCCCATCTCTGGCCTCCGCACTGAGCGACATTGCGGCGTTGATGGGTTTCCGTCTTGCTGCAGCCCCTTCCGTCTTGTCTGCACTCTTTGGGGACAGCGAAGTGGGAGAACGGGCAGGAGGGGTGCTGGATTCACTGGCTCCACTTGATGGTCTCCCCTCCGGTGTCCTGGGGGCTGTAACTGCCCAAACCACAAACACAGAGCCTTTTGAACTCTGAACAAGAAATCTTTGCTATTGACCAAATCAGAGTACCAGTCAAACAGCATTCTGACGCATACACACAGCAAGCGAAAGCCTGGTTTCAAACATTTTGCAACCATAGAATATGAATTTATCTACCAATCAGAGGTAAAAATGGGTTGTGGCAGGATAGCAAAGTTGTGGATTTCGCTGTCTTCTGTCACGCGAAATTCCTCGATTTGGAACACAGTTTATCTTCATATTTTCCATCCTTGATTCAAAACAAATTGCCTGAAATCCATCAGAATATGAAAGATATAACAACCCTTCATTGATCACAAAATTTAGCCGATCAATAGTCTCAAAACTTCCAAAATTTAACGGATTCCGCAAGCTGTTGCAGCTCATTAAATATTCAGAAGCAAGGTCACAGTCTGCAGCTCATGCATATTCAGCAAGTAAACGGAAGTGTGTGCACCATCATATCATTCTTCTTTTCTTCTTCCAGTGAATTAAACAAAACTTCATTTCATTGTGTGAATGTGACTTGCAGTTGATCTTCAATACCTTCAGAAAGTGAAGTGCTCTGTTAAAAATAATAAACAAGCTTACCTTCAACGGCCAAAGGTTCTTCGATTCGGGCACAAAAATTCAGTCTCAGCAGGTCTTCATTTACATTCATCTGCAGCAAAAACACAAGATGTCCTGGCAACATATTTCAAAAGGTAATTCTTTATATTTATATCAAATAGTCGCGGCAGGTTAAAAATGGGAAAATCAAGGTAACAACAGAATGTTAGTTGAAATGAAAAGTCCACTCGAGACCCAACGGGTCTTTCAAAAGCTGAGATTACGTGTGTAATCCATATAAATGGATTTGTGTAAATAGACAACTGAATTTATATACTGCAATTTAGACTTTACCTGTTGCTGATCAATACTGACAAAGAGGGTAACTAGGGACACGCCATCTTCTCTCGCACGGTGAATGTCCACCTTGGCCGACTTACCTAAAAATAAACATGACGTCATGCATTTCAATACGTCACAACCTAAAGAGAGTAGTTAAACTTGTTCTCCTCGGTAAGTGTACCTTGGATTTCAGTGCACAAACTTACAGTTAGGTACAGCAATGTACACAACGATCATGATGACTGGATGCATAAGAAAGCATCAGGGTCATTTGTAACTGAAATACTTTGATTCATCGATATAAAATGAAACACGACTTCATCTCAATGAAGGATTCCAGAATATCTTAATAACTGCACTGAAACTTATTTTCTTCAAGGCAAAAAAAGACACCCATACCAAAAACGGGGAAGCAAATCCCTTCATCATGAACATATTATTAGAAATCCACTCAGGAAATGTGGTGTGTTCAGACAGTGTGATTCTATTATGCAGAAAGGTGTAATGGACATAATAAAATTAAACCAGTTCACATTTCCTACCTATGAGCAGCTCGTCAAAATATTCCACAGCTGCTGTGTCCCATTTTGCAGCCGGTCTACAAAGTGACACAACAGAAAGCTAGATATTTCACAACAGGAAATACATGTACACAGTGCTCAGTACTAAGATGTGCGCTATAAATATCCACTGTACAACGAAATCAGTAAGGCTGGAGATGGCTAAAATAAAAGTAGTTGGCAGAGCGGCAGTATTGGAATTCCATGGTTACAGGTTCAAAAGTCCGTCCAGTTTGTGGTTTCCTAAGATCTTAATGGGGTTATCTGCTGCTCTTAAGCGTCAATCAACATGAATTAATATAACAAACGAAAATAAATATGAAACGAAAATAAACATGAAACGTAAATGTGGTATCTTGTCAAAAAAAATGACAAGCAATCGCATGAATTGAGACTAGCAAATCAATGAGAGAGAGTCCCAAATGTTACAACGCGAGACCAATATCTCAACAAGAACACTGTTTGTTCCAATCGAGACCACTCACTGTTCCTTTTTTTTAAGAACACTACATATTCCCGAATGGGTAGATTGGCCCATGTGTTCACATTCTGACTCAGGAACCCTGTGTTCCTGATGAGAATATTTCGACTGCATTCCTCATTAGTTCCTGATTGGTTTTCTCCGTCACCAACTGTGCCAAATTTGTACAAGTGGAACTTGAAACCACATAGCACTGGCTCATACAAAACAAAAGGCATCATTGGCATTACTCTCTTTGCAGATTTCAACCATGCACTTGATGATGCACCGCTCTAAAGAATGAGGAACAGACATGGACAGCTCTCGAGACTTACTGCATTGTTGCCTTGTCCTCATCAAAGGACACTTTGAGCGAGAGCGGCACTATGCCGTACAGACAGTACTCCCTTGCCTGGAATGGGAGCTTGAGGAAGTGTGGTGGAATGTCGCGTAATCTGGGTGAAAACCAGGAAAAATGGTTGTGGAGTTTTTGTGATAAAATGAAGACAGTGCCACGCAGGGCACTTGCAAGTCACAAGCAAACAAGAAACTGACCCTTGGTGATGAGACACCAACTTCAAAGATTCTCAGCACTGGACACAAAATGAACATCCTCTGCTATAAAGCATCAACTTAAACACCCTGACAAAAATGCACCTGTTCTTGTACTCTAATCAGTCACAGAGCCTTGAACATTTTAAGCTCTAAATAAAATCTGTTCTAACACTTAAGGCACAGGGTAAAACAAGTCGCGTCAACTACTTCCTCGGTTTCAAGCAAGTGGGGCACACTTCTTTAGCTAATGACGGATCACACACTGTACTACAAAAAACAGATGTTTTTATGACTCTTTGTCTAACTTAGCCTAATGTTAGTCTAATTTACATTTAATAGATGACAATGCACGGCAAAACAGGAAATTTCACAGGAATTAAATAGGGCATACCTGTTTGTGGGGAGTTTGATGGTTTCCCCGAAATCTAGGAGGAAACAGCTGAAAACGAACCATACACAGACCAACATTTAGATTTTTAATATTAAGATTGTTGAAAATATCCTGTATATTTCGGGACAAACATCATAAATCTAAATACTAGGGCAAACCTTCACACTCTGAAACAAATGCTGACATGAGGGTATCTGGCCTACACTCTGGCAAACAATTTTGAACAGGCCGTCAGATGAGGGTAACGTATAGCGTAATTCGACCACCAGAATTAGAGACCATTACTGCAGCGGCACAACACTCGTGGACAGGTGGTACGCGTGCGTTAGTTACATGCCTCTTCGACCAATAGGGTGTCGTGATTTGCCAAAAGCATGTGCGCGTCACGCCGAGGAGTGTGCGCGTGAGTCCAGTGCCACTGCAGTTGTGGTGTCTAAATCAGATAAGTCTGTAGATTAATTTAGGCTTAACCTTAGCTGCCAAAAGAGTCGGACCTTTGTGACATGCACTCTTGTGTTATGGTGGAGCCTAAAAACTAGCTGAAAATAGCTGAAATTGCAGCATGGGGTCCAGGGCCCTTAAGCGGGCCCCGGGGCAAATGTTGAAATGTAAATGCTCTGTGGTCCATTTTACAGCCTCCTGGTACAACTTTTGTTCCTTTTTTCTTACAATTTATGTACATTTTCAATTTAACTTTTTTCTTTATATTTGCCTGAAACTTCCTGAAGGTTAACATGAACTACATGTGTAAGCCTTGGTAATAGGTATACCAAAAAATGTAAATGTGTCTGCAGTGTGAGTTGGCTCTTTTCCCTCCTGATTTGAGCATGTTCACTTCTTTGTCCGCATGCGCATCGCATGTCCAGGCTTTTGGATTTCCGGGCACAGAGTGTGTCGCCTAAGGTTAATTGCTGCTCGTCTACAGCATATTTCAACCACGTCCATTTCTGGGGATTTGTGACATGAGGATCGGTCTCGTCATATTGATTGTATCCAAGCCTGAGCCTCTTTGAACAATTATGCATTTGTGTTGCCGTGGCATTTTGATAAGATGCACGCATAGCATGTAAAAACAGCACGATAGAGCATGATACGACGACAAGACATGCACAAATTTTGCCCAGCGCCAGTCATCACGAAGCCCTCTATCGGCGAAAGTGAAAATTTACTAACCTTATTTCAAGCAACAAATTTACAGCAAACTATATACTACCACGAGTTACAATGGAAATTGCTAGTCACTACATGCTCTGAATGGCTGTAACGAGTCCCACCGACACGTGTAGATATAAATAGTGACATTTCACTTGCAGCCACAATGACCGGGTGATTCCCCAGATGCTGTTTACACACAAGGCTCGCACTTTGAGCTGCGCTGGAAAATGCCCGCACAGATTTGGAATCATATACACTGTGAGCCCGTACATGCATGTGTACCACATAGATACAGTAGATTCAATCGCATGCTATATAGCACTCCAGTACTGTGTTTTCGCACGTGTTCGGTATCAGAAAGAGGACGCACAAAACTTGGCCTGGTTGTCACATCAGCACACAAAGAAGAAATGGAAAATATCGGTGCTGCACCAGGAATAAAAATGAGGAAAATTTGGTCCATCAGTGGCAAAAAAAGCAGAATATGGTATTCGACATGCTCAAGAAAAAAGCAGAAATCCGCTAAAACTCGGAGATGTCACAAACCCCTGTACCAGCCTGAAGAAAACTTGGTCCCTATAATTCGGGCCCTCTCCAATTTGTTACCAGACTCCTGTCTTTTTGTAGCACCATAAATGTAATGTATACTTCTTGGTCATGTTGATAAAGGGAGGCTGGTGACTACACCTGAAAGTGAACAAGCTTACCTTGCCTCAGCTAGGTGCTTGCGCTGTATGATGCTGGTCACTCGGGCCCGATACCATTGATCTCCATCCATCTTCCTGACAAGATAAACCTACACAAAACAAACAAATATTACTCACCAACAGTTCAAACAAAAAGGGTTTTGTCACATCGTGACAGTCAAGGCTGCCAACGATGATCATGTTGGGAGCTCCATGTACCTCTGTAAATGAAGTCTCTTTGAATGAAATGACAGAAAACTCTGTATAGACAGATTTCAACAAAATTAAAAAGTCATCAGAAAATTGACATTTCCTGTTTAAGTACAGAAAACTGGCTCCAAACTTTGAATTCGGGCAGGTTCTCAGCAAATAAATATGCCCCGAGACAATAAAGGCCGTTGTCCTTAACCCTAACTGCCCAAAACCTGCCATACTCCAACAGCAGGTTTTGTGAGGTTTGGGCAGGTTTGGTATCGTACCCGAGGAACTTCTTGTTGAATTTTGTGAGACTTGGGATGAAAGGCCCAGGGAGATGGTGTTGGATTCTGTGTGAGTTGGGACACACACGGGTCACGGTGTGCAGTGTCTGGCTTGCTGTACCAATTGTTGGACTATGCTTGATTTTGTCAGGTTTGGTACTGTTCAGTGCAAGTCATCCAATATTGCATAGTCCCATCCATACCATATCACTCAAACTCCAACGGGCTCATTCTGTTGGAGTTTATCAGGTTTGGTACAGTAACCTGCATGTACAAGTACATAGACAAGTACATGAACCTGTTGGATTTTGTGAGGTTCAGTATGCTTTCTAGTGCAAGAGCCTAGGGGGTTAGGGTTAAACAATACACTGCATTGACCTGTAACCTGTAACCTATGACCCGTGGAAATGTCATATGCGTACCTCTCCCTTCTTTGGGTTGTAGGTGTGCATGTTTAGGAACTGCTCATGCTTGCAATATTCCTTAATTTCTTCCGAGAGTTGGACAAACTCCGCGGCCTGGATGGATGAATTGGGCCCAGGGACCTCCTTGGCCCAAAAATGACTGGGATCTTTCACCTGCAAAAGAAAACAGATTTGTTTGTTTCAATCTGTACAATAACCGTAAGATTAAGATTACACTGTAAATAGTGGATTGGGAGGGCCGAGTATTCCTTGTTACACACGATCTTCAAATCCAGTTGCCGATTTCACAAAAAATGCTTAATTTCATACAATGCATAAGCCTTACTGAATGAATTTGTGACGGAAGTGCGGAATGCACAAGATGGTTGATTTCATGGAATGTTGCTTGGCTGTACAACATATTATTTTAAACTTCTTGGAAGAGGATCATGGATATTATGGCAGCTGTTCCTTTTTCAACATTGTAGCAGTCATTAAATTACGTAGCTCCACCCAGCATTTTGAAGAGGTCTCTTGTCTTTTCCCCAAGTTCTTGTCACAGCAAAACAAGTTTATTCATTACCTTCAAAGAGGTACATTTTTTTCTCAAATGAACCATGTTCAGTTGAGCAGCAATGAATTTTGACCAAACATAATTTGCTGGTAAAATGGTTTACTTACAAATCGCTCAGTGCAACTTACGCCATCTAATATGATTGGGTAAGTTACGCCATAAGTTGTTGCACAAGCCACTGACTGACACAGTGCATAACTTTGGTGAAATGCGTCATAATCTGTTGCATGAGTTATGCAATGAAGTGCGACCTGAGTGAAGTAACGCCACTGCATACAAGTTTCATGAAGTTGGGGACAGCATCTACATCAGTGACTCAATTTCTGTACAAAACATGACACTTGAACCAAAATTAAACTCCAGACGGAAAATTCATGTTTAAGAAGAGCAAGTGAAAGTTCAACTCCAAAAATTACTTACCTTCAATATTGTGACATCAATGGGAGCCATTGCGGCAAAAGCAGCCACTCCGACGTCAAACCACTACAACAATCGAGGAAAAAATAGCAATTTATGAGCAGCACATTTATCACTAATAATAGCCCTAACCCTACATAATACTGCAAATTACTACTTGTAGTAAAATGTAGTACTGAGCGCTGTCGCTTGTAAGAGGACGTATTAAAATACAATAGATAAGACAATGTACCATACAGTGCTGTGGCACTATGAATGCATGGCTTTATTGTTCTCTGTACGAGTAACAATGGAAGTAACCTAGCCAGAAGTAGTAATCTGTAGTGCTAGGTCCTTCAGGCTCAGGCTATTACTTAGTATGTTGTAGTACTGTGTAGTGTAAGCCCAACAATATGCTTGGCGGTTAGGAATAGACCACATATACACGTATACGTGTCACTTACAAGTCAAAGTACATGTACATGTACACAACCAGACGAAACCAACACAGTTTGAATGGCCAAGTGCAAACTTGTCCAAAATGTTCTCTTTTTTTCAACTGGGTCAACATCTCTGAGTTTACTCACAGTTCTATGATGCATAATTTTGGAAGGACAGTTCATTTCTCAGATAGCTTTCTGTACCGAAAGGGGAAAACCCCACTTCCTGTGAGTAATGCCAGAATAAAACTTGCCTATGCCAAAAACAAAACGGTGCTTGCTTATTCAGCAGGCCTACATGTATATCTATCCAAGCGGAAATCAGATGCTTTGCAGCGATTTGAAAAATGTGTTTTTCCAGGAATGTCTGAAGGCTTCAACTTGATAAAAAATTATCATGGAATCGGAACAGCATTAAAAGTGGAGTTGTGGGTTTTTTTGGGGGGGGGGAGGTTGTATTTTTCTGATGGGCAAAATGATACAAAATTTGAAAAGGGAGTACTAACGCTCTACTCAGCAGAGCTAGCTAGATTCATGGACCAAGACATTGGTGGCGCAATACCCGATATGCCATTTTTAAATTATTGAGTGTTCCGTCTTTTTTGGCTTTGATAATACAATAGGAGTGCTTCTTCCAAAATAAAAATGTGATTTGTGGGACATGTACCTTAACTGACTTTAAAAAAATTAAATCCAGTCAAAGTTTTTGCCAAAAATATTTATTCGACTCACAAAATGACATGGTGACATTCACAGAAATCCTAATTTCAGATAAATACATGTATGACTGAATATCCAGCATGTCTTCTCTTGATTTCATTTTTTCATTTTACCTTTGGTACACGGATTAGATTTGCATTAATGAAGAAAACTGAAACACGTGGTGTTTATTATTACTTATTACCTTGCATATTATCATTATCAGCTCAACTCCACTGTTACAAGGGGGGGGCACTGACAGCCCCGCCCCAGGGGTTGGGAGAAATTCTGGTTTCCTCCCCTTCTCAGTAATTCCAGTTTCACATTGCATACGATACATATACTTGAAATGGTATTTTCCAATTTATATCATATAAACTGTCTAAAGATCCCCCCCAAAACCCAAAGTATTTAACCTTTTAACGTTTTGCATATCGAAATGTACTTTAGTTCACATATACATGTATTTTATCATAACTTCTGTTATGAGACCGTGGGAGACCTATCATTTGCATGCAAATTTAAAGCTTTTTAAAGAATCTGAATCATACAGTTGGCAATGCCTCCATCAGGAAACATCACACCGACTTGAGGGTTAGTTTGGGGCGTGGAGCTAGACATGTCTTCGGTAGCTTATTTACAAGCACCAAACAATTTTAAAAAGTTAAGCTCTAATGGTTGCATGTGATGTTTTGAACAACTTCCGGCAAACAAAGACTGAGTCAGTTGCCTCGATGGCTGGCCTTTCCTCATCATACAACCGCCAAGATGTTGCCTGGCTGCCATATGTGTGCCAATTATACA